CAATCAGCATTTGCCCTGTTGGATATTTGAGGATATAGTTTTATGTTAGGACAAAAAAAATATATAATTTTGTCTGGTAAGTGTTGTAGGAATAACTGAAAAAGGAAGATGTTTAAAGAATTGAAAAGTTAAGCCATGGCTAATAAGCCTTGGAGAAAACTGTACATGCAGATCTCTATGTTCTTTATCCTCAAAAGTTACCTATCATATTAGAGAATTTGGAAACACAGTTGTCCATTTATAGCTTTGCATCTTATTCCATCCTCTTCCCATTTCTCACAACCTCCAGGTAAATCAATGCCAAAATTAGCATTATAGAAGAAATAATATATCTGAAGAGCTGTGGAGAGCAGTTTATGCCTATCTTTTCAGATAGATATAAAAAATCTCCATATGTTACTTCCTAGGATTAGGGCCTGCCACATGTGAGTTTTTACCAAAAAAATGGTGTCCTGAGGACTAGCAGTTCCTATGAATGCCTGCAGAGCTTGCAGTACTATATATATATATGGGGCTATTGATAAGGATTCAGTATCAAAATTTACAATCATCTCTAGTCTGATGTGCCATGGCACTGAATTACAGCCATATATTTCCCCTGTTTATCACCATATTAGTCTCTTTGTAGAAACAGCAAATATACTTCAGTAAACATAGAATTAAGTATCTTTAACTTCCCTGCTGTGATCTTAATCTGGGAGTGGAATGTAAGAGATACACTCTAGAAAGTCAGAAGGAGTGATAGTAGTAGGTAGGGGGAGGATTTTGGGAAGTTTCTCTTCTCAACAGGAAGCTGTGAGCTGTCTCCTGAGATGTAAAGTATAGCAGTGGTTTACTTGTGTGAGAATGGCACTGGTAGTAAATTACAGAATAGTGCATTATATACCCTTGGCACTTTCATACAACCTGCAGTTCAAATTTCTTTGCAGAGGCATAATATTGTGCAAGGAAGTAGAAGCTAAGTGATGCAAGTAAAGAAAAGCTCGTGAAGTAAGAGGAAGCTGGTGAACTGGAAAGATTTTTGGAAGATTTTTTGGTCTTGCCAATGTTGCAGACTCCTTCTAACACTGGTTTTATTCCTGCTGGCTATAGAGCTAACCATAGGTGAAAAAGAAGCAGGGAAAAGAGAAAACACGTGTGAGGTTTATTCTCCTGGATACAAAAGCTTCAAGGTTTACTTCAAGGTAAGGAAAGATGATCTGAAGAGGGTAAACTGGTTAGGTGAAGTGTCTTCAGAATGTCCAGTAATCGAATGATGGTATATTAAAATGAGAAATTTCAAATAATGAAAGGATTAGCAGGAAGAAGATCTGCACACCATGTCTCCAAGAGGTCTGAAGTCCTGACAGCCCTTGACATGCAGAAGTATCAGACATCATGAGTGGAATGAAGAAGCTATTGCTGATATTGTACAATAATCTATATTCACACCTTTGTGATTACCTTTTCAGATTTAGCAGCCTTGCAGACCTATTCCTCTACAATTAACTGTATATGTACACAGAGGCATTCATGCAAGCATATCACTTACTATTGCAGCCTGTCAAAGGTTTAAAAGGAGGAAAGTTTATCAGATGTAAAGGATGCCTGAGAGATATTTATGTTGTTGTTCTTTTTCCTTCTTGACATCCCACTTACTGTCTCATAAAATTTCTTGAAGAAATGCAAGATAATTTCTCATCTTGGTTCAAGTATGAATTTGAGGAAACAGAAAGGAATTAAGAGATTATTTAGGAAAGGCCAAAAAATTCAAGACTATGGTGGCAGTAATTTCATTCAAATATTTTGGAGTGAAAGGAGAACTTAGAATTCATTGTTCCATATATTGTCTCAGTCACTTTTAGTCATCTGTTGTATCACATAACTCCTGTTGAAGTATGGGAATTGCAATAATCAGTGCTATAAACTAGTTATCATAGTGAGCTGAAAGCTAGGGTTTTAAGTTGTATTCCCCATATTTTACTTGTTAGGTGAATTGTAATCCTTGTTCCTCAGGTTCAGTGTTTTACATAATTGACATGATTAACCATAGAAATCTCATAGGATAAGAGTGTATTTAGTGGCACAAGAAATAAAAATATGAGGATCATTTATGACCACCCATTTAAATTCTTGCACATATAGATGAAATTTCAAGTCCAATCGGGATATAATCTAGTTCTTGCACTTTGAGAAGACTAATAAGAGGGTTATTGACCATGTGAGAAAACAAATTTTTGTTTGTTAGTGAGTACAAAAGTGATATATATGTTCAAAAAGCCTTTTCTGAAATGATAAATTATTCTGTAGTACTGGGTCTTTATTGATACTTAGTCATCCAGTATCCTTTTCTTTTCTCCAATTGTTCAATGTTTCTTTTTCACAAATAGCTCCTGCCTATTTGATTGTAGGTGGTTCAACAAGCCTAGTCTCTTTCTTGAATGTAAAGGTTAAATCTCTGTGGCTGAGATGTACTGGAAAGACTAGAAAATCCTCTCTCCAGAATTTCAACAATTCTCTTTTGAAAAATGTAAACTAACTTCCTAGCAGAGCTTCTTTCTTGTAGCAAAGAATTGACATACGAGAGAGGTGTCACAAGGAAAAGAGAATTTCCATGTAAACATATTTGAGTAAAGGAGGATTTAAAGGCAGTTTCAGTTCTCCTGGAAATAGATCAAATAGATAAATACCCTTCTGAAAGCAAATACCTAGGGTTGATTCATCTCTGTAAGTTGAGAGGACACCAGGATCATTCTATTCTAAGGGAAATCATCCTTCGGGTATGTGGAAGATAACTCTGGTGTTTTAATCCTGAGTTATTTGAATTGGCAAGTAGACTAGCTCATCAAGTGAAAAGTTTGGAAAAGAAAATATCTTGCACATCCTTACTTTTGAGATGCATCTGCAGCCCTGGAGAACAAGGTATTGAAACAAGCTAAAGACAGCTCAGTGGACAGCAAATGCCCAAGTGATCTCTTCAAAATTTGAACCTGCTCTTCCAAGGATAATACTGCATTAAAATTTCCTGAACACACTTTTACCCAGATTGTAGATCAGAATTTTTAAGCAAGCTGATGATTTTTATCTGACAGGCCAAAATAAGTTCCTATTTCATATGAAAGCAAGTTCTTCAATGTAGGCTACCTGGAGCTGGGTTGCCTTAGGGCAAATTACTACATATGTATGAAAACCTATGGGACAACTGCCCTGTTTCCTAGACTTTTTTTTTTTTTCAACTAGTTTTATCTATTTTTCTTTCTGTGCAGAGTTCTTGCTAAACTGTTTTCTAACACTCAAGGTTTAGGCACTAAATTATCTAATTATGGAAAGGTGCTTTTAAAGACAATTCTATTTCTTCTGTTCTTTCTGTAGCTGAACTGATGTTCCTGGGTTCTCTCAGATGAAAGAACCTGTATTGAGATTAAGAGGAGATGAGGAGGACTGTTTTGCCAAAACTAAGTAACCTCAGATTTTTGCTCAATGTACCATTTTAATTCAGGAAACATGGACTGTACTGGCCCAAACTTGAAAACAAATTTTAAAGGAGACAAAAAGTAGACTCTTACTGTAGGTCTCTGTGGGGTTGTTGTTTTGTTTTGTTGTTTGTTTGTTTGTTTGTTGTGGGTTTTTTGTTTTTTTGTTGTTGTTGTTCGGTTTGGTTTCTACTGCCATTGGTACCAATGTACTAGCTCTTGCACAAGCCCAGTAAGCTCAGCACTGTTTATAATTTCTCTAACAAAATCAAGTAAAATCTGTATTATAGCAGAATCCTAGCAACACTCTACTAGTTATTTCTTCTACCAGTAGTGCATCAAGAGTGTTTTTAACCAAACTCACATTCCAGTTTCCACTTTCTGTTGAGTACAGATTGTGTCAGATTCACGAAGCTACAGAATAGAAAGAAAAACCGAGCTGAACTCTCTGTCCATGTAGAAAAAGATGTAAGTGTAGCCCCTTGATTTTTAATTTTTTTTTGTTGTTTACACCAACTTACTCCATCCAGTATATATAAGCCAGAATGGAGGACTCCTCTTCATGTGAGAGTGCATTCCTCCTATGTCCCCAGAGACAAAACTTTTGTATGTGCTCTCTTGTGTATGTGCTCTTTCACCCTCTCATCTCATGATGTGTCTGTACAGTGGCCTGTCTCCAATGGAGAAGGTGAGAAACAGCTCCATTCGGGTTTTATCCCTACTTGATGGGAACTGGGGGAAGTGGATTTATGTCCTTCAGGTAGGGAGAGACATGAATGCAGGTTTCCCATTTCCTGGACATATACTCTAACAATTAAGCTGTGTGCCAGAGACAGCACTCATCATAACCTGAACTGTTTTTCAAAGGGAATCTGACTTACTGATATATATAGGTTTTAAGAGTGCTTTATGTGTATCTATTGGATCAGACCTGTTAGGGGATTTAGATATGTAAGTATTTACTTTTTGAATGTCTTAATGACCGTAGGTAAGGAAATATCCTCACCAGGTTACTTTGTTAAAATGGAGCATAAGCTTCAGTAGGAAAAGAAATAACTACTATTGGATACTCAGAAAAGTTATTTTTCCAGACAAAAATATATTATGAGTATGGAATTTCTGAATCTAAATGTCATTGTGTTCTTTGTCATCTGTATTTATCTATAAGTATTGCTGTGTACTTGCTAAAGATTTTACATTTATATACAGCTTATTCTAAGAGTATTCAAACTAAAGTAAAATTTAAAAAAAAATCTGCCCCTTAGGTTGGATCTCATTTCCAAGGGGGTTACTTGCTAACTGCAACATTTTTCACTGACATTGTGTTTGGTTTTACCTGTTATGTATTTCTGCCTTGGGATGATAGACCATTCTTTTCCTAATTATCACCATGTACGTTATAAATTTAGGTATTATTTGAACATTGTGATTCATAGGAATCATTATATAATGTATCATGAAGATGTGGAACCAAAGCTGCTATTTAAAGGATGTTACTTGTATAACATTCCTGAGTTTCTCACCATTTTCTTAAATCTTCCAATGCAGATAACAATCCCCAGACCTTCAGTGGCATCCACACAGTCTGCTTCAGAGAGCTTCCACTATGGCCACCCCCTAGAGAGAAGAGAGCAGGATGGTCAGTCTGTGGAACACACCGTGGAACTTTCCTCTCCAAAGGAAAATTTGCCAGGCTTGGTTGGGACAGAAGATGCACTTCCAGCTAGTGCCAGCAGACCAGATTTGATACTCAATACTGGCCAAGAGGTGCTTGACAGGGAAGGGCTTGTCAAAGAGTCTGTCAATGTCCTGGACTGTGACCAAAAGGACCTACCTGAACACAATGGGATACAGGAAGAGAAAGAACCTGGAAATATTCCTGTGGAGGAGGCTGAGGAAGAAGGGCTTCCAGTGGTTTCTGAGGATGCCATTGAAATGCTAAGCAAAGAACAGAATTCTTCTTTGCCAGGAAACTCAAAATCTGCAGAGGAAGAACCTCTAACAAATACGGAAGCAGCTCAAGAATCAAAGTCAAGGCCTGTCAGTTTGATGCCAAATCAAGATGAGGCTCTGAAGTCAATAGCACCTAAAACAGCAGAATTGTCTCCCTCAAGACTTAATAATGCACATGTTAATAGACAGGCAAGCAAAATAGCAGCCATTCAGGAAAATGGTTTTCATTCTGATAAGGAAGAAGTCCATAGCCAAGACTTGAAATGCCACCAAGTGGCCCTTACTACTATTTTGCAGCAGGAGAATAAAAAAGAGAAAAATGCTCCCAGAAATGGAGAGTTATTGCACTGCATTTCAGAAAATGAGAATTCTTATCGATCTAAGAAGGACTCAGTTAAATCTTCTTTTGTATTCAGGCAGAGTCGAATCCCAGTTTTAGCACAAGAGATAGACTCAATGTCAGATTCCTCTTCTGTTTCTGCAAAGGAAAAGCTTCTGCTAAAAAAGGCCCATCAGACAGACTTGGTCAAATTACTTATGGAAAAGANCTCAAATCTTTCCTTGGTGACCTCTCAAGTGCCTCTGATAAGTCACTGGAGGAAAAAATGGCTGCTGCTCCGTTTTCTGAGGATGAAGTCTTAGCTTCATTTTCTAGATTGACCCTGGACTCTCATTTCAGCAAGCAGAATGAAGATAGCTCTTTATCTCCAAGCAGCCCTCAGTCCAGAAAAAGCAAGATTCCAAGGCCAGTGTCTTGGGCAACCACTGATCAAGTTACCAGTTCAAGTTCAGCTCAGTTCTTTCCTCGGCCACCACCAGGAAAACCACCTACTAGACCTGGGGTAGAAGCTAGGTAATGCAGAGAAAATAGAAATAGATTTTCAGGTTGAAAATGGATTTGAACTAGACTGTAGTTACTGTGAAGTATGTAATCCTGTAGAAGTTCCACCCTTTAACTAATGTTTTAAAAAATAGTGGGCTTCAATTCTCTGAGAAACCTTACATTGTTGGAGAATGAATGAGGAGAAGCTGTCACACAAGAATGAGCCTGGTTCACTGTTAAAACTAATACATCAATAGATGTGTATTCAATATTTTGAAACCTGACAATCTATAACTAAATCTTTACACATTTTTTTAGAGTCAGGTCACTTTTCCAGAACTGCTGGTTATTTACAAACCCATAGAAATTTTTAGGAGCTGTTGTATTCAACCCCCTTGAAAATTAATCTGTTCTTAATGTAGACATTGTAAATATTTGGAGATTCCAGCCATCAACATTGAGTCAATTAGCTATGCTCAGAACATGTCTAAGTAAACCAACTAATTAAAGGAGGGCAGAGTGAATTTTAGAAGACCTCCTCTTTGCCTTGTCTATATGCAGACCAGTCCAGTTTTGTCAGTGTCTGCATTCCCAAGATAAGGATAATTTTGATACAGTATTGCAAAATCCTTTGAAGGAAGTTGCAGTGGGCCTTGTCATCCCTTAAAATTGTGTATGGGAGTGTACTGATGGTGTGCAGGAATGGATGTACCCCTCTGAAAGAACGACAATAAGCACTGCTCTTCAATGCACTTCTTCCAACACCACCAGGAAATTCCAGTTGTCCTGTGTAACACTGGGGCTGTTTATGTGAGTGAGTTTATATAAATATATATTTATATAGCCTAGATCCAAACACTTCTACCTAATGGGAAAGTTGAGCTCCACATATCTGTTCAGCAGTGCAAGCTCCTCCTTAGTTTCTAGTGGTACCAGGTTTCTATTTGAATTTTAGTGAATAGGTGGAAATAGAAATAATCTTTCTTCGTTTCTTCTTAAGGTTGCGCAGATACAGAGTCCTAGGCAGTAGCAGCTCGGACTCAGATCTTATCTCTCGTCTGGCTCAAATCCTACAGAATGGATCTCAAAGACCAAGGAGTTCAACCCAGTGTAAGAGTCCAGGATCTCCACATAGTCCAAAAACACCACCCAAGAGCCCTGTCATTCCCCGCCGCAGTCCCAGTGCCTCCCCTAGGAGCTCTTCTTTACCCCGTACTGCCAGTTCTTCTCCGTCCCGGGCTGGGAGATCCCATCATGATCAGAGGAGTTCATCCCCACATTTTGGGAGGAGTAAATCACCTCCTAGCCATTCAGGCTCCTCATCTTCTAGGAGGTCCTGCCAACAAGAGCACTGCTGCAACAAAACAAGCAAGAATGGTCTGAAAGGTTCTGGTAGTTCTTTCCACCATTCCCCAAACACTAAGACTTCCACAGGAAAGACCAAATCAACTACTAAGCTTAGCAGATAGGAACTGGGCTTTGACAGGTATAAAGTCTCCTCCTAAATTTGATGCATGTTGTGTCTGTGTACTGTGTATTTAAAAAAATAATCAAAAAAATTATATTAAAAAAAGGTGTTGAATCTGCACATTTTAAAGAAAGTAGCCATTGTAAACTATTCATGAGAAAGCATTCTGTGTAAATAAGTGGCCAGGCTTTGCCTTAGAGCAGGCAGCAAGCAGATCTATGAGATGGGAAGTAGAGGCCAGGATAAGAATGACCGGGTAGTCAAAGAGGTGCAATGTATTTAGAGTGAAAAGCTATCTTGAAGGTGAGTGTTTTAAAACGGTATTAATCTCAATGTGTTTAGTTTCCCTAGTTAGAAGATTTGGCCTAATTATTTAAGGCCTTACATACTCAAGGAGTATGTAAGAAAACCTGAAACAGTTATTCCCAAAGTAACGTCACCACTCGGGAGATAAGTACTGCTCAAGCATTTCTTTGCAGTTTTAAAAAAGCACACAGTTTAGAAGATGATATTTCTACCTTTTAAATTTCTTCCATTTTGAGCTGCACTCACCTCTGAGTCACTGGGTGCTTATTTTGTCCCCTATCTATCATGGCACAGATTTTTTATCTGAGTATCATATACCTTACCCCTTCTTTGACACTGATGAAATTTTAAAAAGTAATGTTTGACAAGATGTTTTTGTACCAATATTATTTAGAAATTTGTTTAGCAGTAATTAGGATCCAAGAAGCTGATTCTCAGTTCTATATCATACAATTTTTTTGGGAGTCATAGTGGGGTTCTTCAAACCACATTTGGTACGATTTGGAAAAGCATTCCTTCCTAGGAAATGAGAGGAAGGAGTAGATGTATGTACTTCACTGGATGTTGCAGGCTTACAGTAAAATGTAATGTAAGTTAAAAAATAAGAACCTTCCTTTACCCCTTAATTCCACTGGAAAAAGAACCTTTGTTATTGCTGACATCTGTTTTTCCATTAGTCTGGATCACTTTAACCACAGATCTTACAATGCAGAGATGATTACCAATCAAGATTTGTTTTTTTAGTAATTTGTTTTCTAAAATCATGAAAGATGAAATAGAGATGAGGAGATTGTCTACTTTGTGAACGTGATATTTTAGGGGTGATGGAAATATACTTAACACCCTTAAAAAAATCTGTATAAGAATATTAATCACCAAAGCAAAATATGTGGAAGGAAATCGAAAAAAAAATTTTAATTGTATTCTTGTCATTCTGTTTCCCAAATGTGTTTTTGATAGCCAAGCTTTGTTGAGCCTCAGTAAAGTCCATGGTGTTTAATTGCTCCAACTTTATTAGGCAGTTACTTGGTAACATCTTTTTCTCTGTGGGAACTCTGTAGGGAATGAAAGGTACGGCACCTTTTGCTATATTCAGAAAAGTGTAGTGGGTCAGAATAGGGACACACAAGAACACAAGCCTGAGAAAGATGCAGCCAGCTCTCCTCCCTAATGATTCCTGTTGTGGGGACTCTGGATGCATAAGAGACTTGTCAATTACTGATCTGCTTGCTGTAGTCATATGCCTCTCCAGCCAGCATCCGTGCTTTTTTTATTTAACTCCTGCCAAATGAATACCTTTGGATTAAAAAGGGAATATTTTGTCTCTGAGCTAACACATTCTAATGCTGCATTAAAGCTGCCCTAGAGCTGCACTGAATTTCACTTGCTTTGTCAGACTATGTTGATTTTTTTTCTTTTCTTACTATGAGTATGTATATTGTTTCCCATATGTAATGTAGCACAGTGTGGAACCTTAATTTCATTCAGGTTTCAAGCACTACAGATGAATGCAATAGGTAGGGTATACCTGCTTTTTCTGAAGAAACTGTACCATTGGAAAGTCCTATTCCTTTGTATTATATTGTATAATAGGTGCTATACCAATAATTGCATGTCCTCATGGTACATTATATAATATAAATATTTATATATACATATATGTATATGCTTATATAAACTCATTCTTTCTCATTTTTCGTTTGTAATTTATGGACCACAGATAATGCAGTTCCCTTTCCGTTAGTTCCTGTATACTTACCTCTTCTATTCTCCCTGCACCCCTGCCAAAAAATCTGGAATGCACAAATTCTAATAGCCTTTATACCTTGGTACAAAATTGAAGGACTGCTAATTTCTCAACCAGCCAATGTTTTGTCTTGCAGCTTGTTTTTTTTTTAATTTCTAATTTAATGTGCTCATTTGCATATGGAACAAGAACAAAGACTCAAAAGGTATTTTTATTTCTTATTACAAATAGGTCTTACTCATTTTTATTTAATAATGTGAGTTCTTAATTGTGAATATTTGTCATATAGGAATAGTGACAGTCTATGAATACCTAACGGATGAATGTGACAACAACAAATTCCATCTTTTCCTTCCTGTTTTCTACATGTTTCCTTATGGTATACCATAAAAAAGAATTCAGACACATTGTGATGTTTTTGTCCTGGACACTTGCTGGAATTATTTGTTAAGGTGGTGTGGCAGCCCATGATTATTTTCCTTATTTCTGAAAAGCATTCATTATCGTCGTGTAAGTTTATTGCTATGTAACATTGTCAGTTTTCATAACTACTAACTTTATGCATCCTTGCCTGAAAATGCTGAAGTTGAGGTGTTTATATTTTCTCTCTAGAGTAACAGGATCCAGAAACGGTAACTGCTTTACAGGTGAGAAAGCATATAACACCTCTTTTATTTATTGTCTTCAAAGTGCAGGCTTGTCCATTGTTAGACATTACTATGTAAAATAAACCAATGCTGTAGAAATTCACTTGTACTTGAACTACTTGCCAATGTAAAAACAGTAAACTATGCCAAAAAGAAAAAGAGAAATCAGTTGTGATTGATGACACAGGCTTCTTTTGATGACAAAAAAAAAGGTAAAAGGACTGTATACTCCCAGTTGCTTTTTTGCTGTAGATTCAAGAGAATCTAAGGAGAAAATCATGAAGATGTGAATAGAGGAGCAATTGTGAATAACTTAGCTTGAACTACCTGCTCTTCGAGTTTTTTGTTGCTTGATACCCTTCTCCCAAAAGTTTACAGAATTGCTTACTATAGTCTAACATAGCAATCAGTTAATGTTATTAAGTAATGGTCAGCTGATCAACTCATGCATAAATATTAGCTTAATATTTCTAGAAGGCCTATATGATCATTAAGGACTCTGTAAGCCTCAGTATTTGAGTGTGGAAATGGCTCTGCAGAAAACCACCAAAGTACCTGTGTGTGACCCTTGTGCAGAGTGTGTGTGAATAGTTTCTGGCAGGTTATCTGCAACACGTTTTCAGGGATGGGGAAGATTTTTCTGCATTGTACAAAATGGCTACAGTTATTCTGCATAGCACACAGCAGCTTATATAGGAATATTAGCTGGGAAGTGATAAAATTCAAGGAGCTGTTGCTTTGTCTTCTTCAAGCCTCCATTTCTTTGGAGGACAGTGCAATGGAGCCATGACATGTAGCAGGTGCAGATGTTGCACACTCATTTTCTCTTTATGGTGTATTCTGTGTTGTGGCCAGCACTTTGGAGCATTTTTTTAGAGAAACTGAGGCTTGAAGCCTTTAAACTGAAATAGAACTTGAAATCACCAAACATTTCACACAGACTTTAGTGCTACAATATTGCATGGTAAAATCAGTCTGAGTTTCAATCTCAAAAATCAATATTAATTAACCTCTTTATTAATTACAAATGCCAATTACTACTTAGGTAAAACCTTGTTAGAGTAATAGAAAGTGTGATACAATAGAGCAACGTTGGCAAATTGTACGATGCTAAGCACTTTTCCACTACTTGAGCAGGATCGGTAAGCATAGAAAATTTCACTGCTCAAAGGCAGGAGCAAGATGAGGTCTTAACTGCTAGTTATATATAATTATACAGGAGGTAAACCCCTGCAGAGTGACACAAGGCATTCATTACAGCCACCAGCCACGTCCTGTCTTGGGAAATCTGGACATATTCTTACCTTGAAGTCTGCATGTTTGAGATCAAGCTTTCTTGCATACCTCACTAAACAGTCTTGATGTATAAGAAAGGATTTGGTCTTATATATTTAAAAATAGCTTGAAATATTTTTCAACTGAAAAAGACTTGCTGGAGTTCTATCATCTACAATTTGTAGTATTATGGTATTAACTATTGCTGGAAAAACACACAATTTTGATTTTATAAATATAAATACAAATTTGTACATAAGTGTATCTACATATACACTTATATAGATACTGTATATTATATAGAAATATATATATATACATACATATGTGTGTATGTACATATAGATAGGAAGAGTCTCAGCTATTCCATCCTGTTCACTGGAATTCATTTGCCAGAGTGAGCCAAGGCCTGTTTTGCTTTGATTTACTCTGGTCTCCTTTTCATCTACTGCAATGTCCCTGTGCCCTAATTCTGATTCTGTGTCTTTTTCATATTTCAAGGCCTGATCCCATAGTCCTACTTGGGCAAAACTCCCGTAAGTCCTTCTTATTGCAGTAACATTTATGCAATGGTTGACTGTAATGCTTCTAAATTTTTTTTTCTTTTTCTCTTTGATGAGAATATAGATAAAGACAGATTTACAGTACAGTCTTTTTCCTGTAAACAGAATTTTTCCGTAATGAATTGAACATTTTTATGGAACGCTAAGAGGCATAAATTCTGGTAAGAAGAATGTGATTATTCCAATTTCTTAAAAGGGTCTAATGGCAAACCAACAATATGTGCCTCTAATTTTTATATATATCTTAAATGAGAGAGTAGTCTTCTGAAAAGGAATAGGAGAAAAGAGCTCAAAGTCAAATTCTTTCTCATTATAAGCCTCTAATAAATGGATTTCTTCATGCAGGACTGATGCTGTGAGGTGACAAGAGCCACGTCTGTCTTGTCATTCTCAGAGAGTCAGGGTCTGCTTAGGTTAACACCAAGATTCCTGTGATGCATTCTCTGTATGCTTTTCCACTTCTGGAAATGGTCAGAGAACTGTTGGCTGGATAAAGGCCTTGATGTTTATCTGTGATTCCTCTCTTCAGCTGCTAAAAGCTTTGGGTGCTCTTTGGATGGTGAACGTGGCAGTGCCAGGTTAGCAGCTGAACTTTGATCTTGGGGGTGTTTTCCAACCTTGATGATTCTATGATTCCTCTTTCTGAAATTTATAGAACAGGGCATAATATTTTTATTCAACTTCTTTTAGCTATTCAGGTAGGCAGTGAACTGATGGGGTTTGTTTGCTGCTTTGCTTTTGGCTCAAATGTCTTTGGTTGTAATTAGTACAATTTTGGTTACCAGGAATGCTGGTAAAAGGAAGTGAGGTTCAATGTTTTGACTACATGGAATACACAGGCATAGGTCATACATTTCTTAGCTAATCAAATTGCTCACATCAGAATACCTCACCTGTCTGCTTGAAGCCAATCTTCCTTTTCCCTACACAAAGTATTTGTGAAAGAGAAATTATAGAAAGTCAGCCTGGATTATGTAATTGTCAGGAATTATCTGAAGATATTGTCAATTGCCAAAAAGTTTTTATCAGTCATTTTCATGTGGTTTAAATAATCAGGCTTTTAAATATATATCTTTAAGGAGGGGTTTTTGTTTGTTTGGGTGTTTCAAGGAAAAATGTACACAAGCCCATTGTTTGAAAGACTCATGTATTAACTTTGCAATGAATCTTGTCATCCAGGTTTGAACAAGTAGGCTGATTTTACTCTCCATTGATGATAACACATTCTCTCTCTACAGTAATAATGGCAAACCCAAATTCTGTGCTCCTGTTTCTCCTCTACTTGATGAGCTTGGACCCATGGGAGTTCTTGCTGTTCTTGTGCAGGTGAAACTTCATTAAAATCTGTATAGGGTCTTGTTTTGTTAAGGCTCTTTCCCCTAATTAGGGACTGCAAGGATAAACTCACTCTATAAATATCAAATTTGTAGTTGCTGTATTTTAAATTGGAAAATGCTTATTTTTATTATTATGACATGACATGCCTGTGGATCTCTCCTTTTCTGTGAGAATTACTGTTGAGAGCCAGCTTTGGCCAAGAGTACAATGTGGTTTCTTTTAAAACAATACCACAGGTGGGCTACTCATGTGAGGTCCTGATCATCCACAAGTGTCTGTGGGAATTCAGCTGCAATTAATTTGATGTTTGTTTTGAGATCACTTGATCTCTGATCTTTTATGTAAAGGGCCTATGGTAACAGCAGAACAGCTTGCTCCAAAAGATGCAGTGTAATTAGTTTGGTGTGCCTAGCTTCAAATCCTTTTAAACCTGTATCTGCTGCATGGCAGGCAAGGTCATAAAGGTTTGATGCAAAATGAAGTAGGATTTTTTTGACAATTTCATATCTTTTCCCTCTGACTGGAGATCTGGATGTATTGCTAAGCAGCCTTCTCTGCATCCTCTTTACCTTCACTGGCTAGAAAGCAAGATTGGAAATTCTTCCCCAGCTTTTAACTTTCTTTTCTATAGAGTCAGCCCAGACTGAAGTTGCAGTGCTTGTGCTAAAAGATGCCAATTTTCAAATGCTTTCCTATGAATATCCAAACTAGTAAATTAAGGAAATCACCAGCAATGCCTTCAGACAAGTACTGATTTTTTCAAGTGGCCAACCAATGGCTGCTAATCTAAAGTCTCTGGGCAATACTACAAAGAATTAAATCTGTGTATTAAATAAAAATACAATGTTGGCAACCCCATAAGAAATCAAGTACTCATTGGCAAGTCTGCAGCATGATTAAATTAAATGGAAAATAGTTCCAAGATTGTTTTTTACCATTGAGGAAGACAAATGTTGAGTCCTTCAAATTCTCTTACCCAGTAATTGCAGTTCTCTTCCCCTCCTTGGAATCTTCTAAGCCATTCTTTTCATTTAAGTTTGCTCAGGCACCCAAGAGCATAAAGAGTTAATGCCCTTGTAGTGGTCATTTGTACATAAAGTT